TCCACCTGCTGCATTAAGGTCCCCTTGTTAAGGGCCTCACCTCCATAGAGAAAATCTGTAGATACAGGAGTTTCGGGTTGATAGATGCTGCTAATTAGGAGGATAGCTATCACTTTTAAATCCCATAAGATTATGTTGGAGGAAACTGGGGCACTTTGAGGACAGTATTAAATACAGATGAAAATGTATCAGAATAGAAAAATAGAGATGCTTGATGAGAATATTAGGTTCAACAGTTTTTATAGTAAGATGTCATTTGTCATTACAAATTACTTATGCACTCTGCACCACAGAGTCCTCCTCTATACTAAGTACATGGCATTTGTAATGTCATTTGCCATTACATATTATATGTATTATATGTACATATATATATAATATATGTATTATATGAGACATATAATTACACTGAGGTGTTAAGAGTGCTGATGTCTGGTGGTAGGAAGATGATGTTTTTATTTTCTTAATTTTTGCTCATTTATATTTTCTAATTATATAAAACACACAAGTATTTTTCCTATAATAAGAGATCGTTAAAAAGAAAATATTGGGGGACAACACGAATGTCTTGACTGACTGGAAAACAGAATTCAGTGATGGGGTTAAGACCATAGGTGGTCAAAAGAAGAGGATAAAAATGAATTCTATTTCCATCTTCCCATGGTACTTCTCTCCAAAGATACGCATCAGAAGTCTTCTCTTCTGACTATTTTGTTAAGGATGTTATGGGATGGGTGTTTTTATTATAATAGGAGATTGTACAGTGTGTTATCACATTGAGAAGTTTGTTTAAAGAATTTTTTTTGGTCCACTTGGGACAGATTTGAGACTGGCTGTAGCCTGTGCCCTGGTTTCAGGTGACATTTATGAGGTCAGTACACTTTTCTAGGTTTCTGTAGGCCAGTTCAGCTTCTAGCTTAGCTTTATCATTGGGTACTGAAAGGAATCCCAACTGAGCATGAGAAGAGTCCCAGGGCCAAGTCCTGGTGAGTCATCCATATGAATGAGAATAGTAAGTGTGAGCTGAATGACTGTCACATAGATGGGTTACATTTCTGGCTGGTACCTGAAGATTAATGAATGAGTTTGGCTGGGCAACCCAGACAGTGGTCTCTACGGCCACAGACTAAAACATGGCCTTGTCATGTTCGTGATTTTTACATCATTATTTGGATGTAAGCATGCTTACCAATTTTGAAAATGACATCAGTATGCTTGCTCTATGAGAGGATCTACAAAGTTATCTCTCCATTGGGAAAATAGCTAAGCCAAAATATGAAAAAAAATCATACATATAATATGCCAAACTCCTTCCAGAACATTACTCTGTCTAATCCTCACAATAACCTTTTGGGGTAGGTCACGTATCACTTATTGTTAGAGATAATGTAGGGAACAGGATTGTGGAAATGTGAACTCACTTGCCTACAATAAAACCTAGCACTATTGCTCTGCTCTGCATGAACTCAAGAAAATTACTTATGCTCTCTGTGCGCCACAGAGTCCTCATCCATACTAAGCAGCATCATAGCTCACTGAAAAAATATTTATCAAAGATGAGGGATACAACCTCAAAGATCACTTAGTCCCTCTCGCATTTCCTGAGGAAGAGAGACATGTGCTCATTTAGATAGAAGCCATTCTTTTTCAAGGACTCCAAAGTGCTAATGTGCTACTCTTTACATTATAAAAAAATGTAAACTGTGGGTTTCAGATTAACATTCTTTACCATATTGAGAATATGTGTTTCTACTCCTACTTTACTATGCTTTAAAATATAGGAATGCATTAAAATTTCTCAAGTATATTTTAAGTATATACCTCAATGATCACTTTCTTTGACCTTTTGTTATGCTGAATTATGGTTATACATTTTCCAATACTAAAATATTCTTGCCTTACTGACTTGATACTAATTAACCATAACATAGTATTCTTTTAATATTTTGTTGGATTCCAGTTACAAATAGCATATTTAAGAATTTTTTCCTTTGTTTATAAAACTAGTTTTTTAAATGTTTTATTAATAAAATTGTTTTTTTTTTAATCTAAGACCTTGTTGTTTGCTCAAGGCGCTTGACTATTCCACCATAACGGATCAAGAGTAGAAGGAAAAAACCCACCAATATAAATTGTAAATAAGACGTGAACTATAACAATAGAAGCAGAAATTGCAAAATAAATTATAGCACTTTATATTAAATCATGTTATTAATAGTATAGTTGAATATTTATATATTTCTACTCTCTACACATTTAAAAAATTTATTCAACTACTCTTAAAACCAATAAAAGGGATTGTTATTATAATTTTCTTAGAGCACCATTTTAACCTTTTCTCTAAAATAGGGCACATTAAGTAAGCCAATTTGCAGACTGGTCAGTTGCAGGGATTATAAAAAATATTTACTAACTTTGGCTTCTTAAATAAAATTTCAGCTTTGGTTTAAAATTTTGGAAAATGAACCACTGAATTTACATGTACCTTTTGGTACAACCAAATGTGGTCATTTGATTCTTAAGTTATCTTCAGAAAGATTTCCCACTTTTCAATGATTCCAAATTCCACAGAAATCGTCAAATTTATGACCAGAGAGTTATACTCTTTAGAATTACCAAGTTCTTTTTCCCAGTCTAATGCTTTATGAAGTGTTAAAGTGAATATAAATTATTTTCAAAGATGTTTCTTCTACCTAAAAAGACGTTCCAAGTGGAATTTTAAAAACTGAAGTATAACATTCTTCTGCAATTTTAACTCTCACATTTATTTTATTAAAGCGAAGGCATACATTTGTGTGGAATTTTCCTAAGTTCAAAACAAGGGCAGGATTCACTCTCTAAGCTGTTCCTAATGTGTTCTCCTCAACAAACTCTGTGCTTGGTTCTTCTGAAAACTATCATTTTGTCAATGCCAATTTTCTTGCATTTCTATGAAACCTGCACTTACCAGGGATTTACTCATTGACTTTTAGTTACCCAGTCTTGCCAGAACTTTCCTACAAAGAATTGAAGGTAGTCAGTATTTGTGTGGGGTAGGAGTGGACTCCACCTCTCTCAAAGTGGTTCACTAAGTTAAAAATATAAAAATCACCCAAGAAGGGGAGAGAAATGAAGAGTGATGAGCCCTAAGAAGGAATAATTGCTGCTGTCCCCAGAGTTCTAACAGCCCAGGTCGGCTTTCTCTCGAAAGTTTTCAAAAGGGCTCGTCAACTGTGAAGTCAGTAATAGAATTTACTGCTGCCAACTGCACCCCTTGAAGCTAGGCAGGAATGACACACACCGTCATTGTATAGAAACGGTCACATATATTAACTTAATGATAGGCCCGCGGACCCCCTATGGAACATGATTATATTGTGCCAGCCCTTGAATAAATGTTAGGTCTTACACAACTGTGTTATTATTACTTTGTTTCCCCTCAAAGACCTTTTGAAGTGTTCAAAGAGCAAGATGAGAGAAGACGTGAGCTGCCCCAAATCACAAAGGTGATTTGCTAAAATAAACCAGCTTTGTGCCCATAAAAACCCTGTACTTCTCATTTTTTTTTTTCTAAATTGAAAGCAGTGGCCACTGGTTTTGAAAAGCCTTATCAAAACAAAATACTCAAGCCTGAAGCACACCAACAGGCAGAAATGGGCAAGGTAATGCCACTTTTACATGTTGGTTTCAAAAGGCAAAAAGAAAAAAGCCTGCAGTTCCAGCCAATACGAATAGACTACCCATATTTTCATCTACCAAATTACCCACGCCTGTTTCGAAACAGTGTACCTTCAGAAGAAAATGTTTGTGATCATACCTTAGGTGAAAAAAAGAAAAATACAAAATTTTATACCTCTCTCCCAGTAATTCATATGGTGGCAAGAAATGTACAAAGGTTCACAAGGATTAAAAAGGACCTAGATGAGCTTATTTGTTATAATAGTAGTGTTGGGGATGATTATTTCTTTTTTATTTAAAGTTTGATTATAATATTTTATGATCTTTTTAAAAAATTAAGCATTGAAGCCAGAGGTTAAAGATTGCCAGCTCACAGGATAAATCTGGCCTATAACTGTTTTAATAAAAGTCATTACCACTTGAAATAACATTGGATAAAGTATGTGAATTTCTAGCTCTTCCAAAAATATGAAAGATATGGAAAAATCAGGTCCATGTTTCCACATGAGTTCAACCAGCTTGAGCTGTGTTGAGGTCACCTGGTTTTAAGAATAAGGTGCTTGCTCCCCAGTTACCACATTCACTGATGGCACCCACATGTGGGCACCTGCATGTGAGAATCCCGGTGAAGGCAACTGGATTAAGACAGTTGCTGTGACTCCATCTATATTAATGAACCTACTTCTTCCTGCCTTTAACATTTTTACCTCTTCAGTGGCCAAATTAGAGAGTGTCCATATCCACACTCAGAAGTTACATCATCTGAGTCTACACACTGTCATGAAAATTTGGCAATTAATTCACTAAACCCAAGCAGAAAACCCTGATATTACTAGTACCATGACTATAACTACTACTGCTGCTGCTAATGATAATAATAAAAACATCCTGAGCACTGAGTATTCAAATTAGTCAATTCTATTAAGCCAATAAATAAGATGCGTGAAACATTAAATTTAGGGTTAGAATATCTCAGTGTTCTAGTCACAAAGATTCTTATGGAAACCAAAAACAAAGTAAGAATAATGAGAAGCTGGGTATTTATGCCACTTATCTTTGGTCCTTCCCTGCTCTTCATAGGCCAAGGCTAATGGACATGTTTGCATTTGTCAAGCAAAACCAACCAACGGTATTAAGTTCGCCCACTCAAGAGAGGACCATGATCGTTGGCCATTTCTAGTGTTCAAGATCATTGTTATACCACTAAAAATAGCACACTGCCATAAATTTAAACATAAAATGGCTGAGTGTACATGCAAATGCACGCACATTTCACATGGTTCTAATAGTGCTTTTGGTACTACTGCCATCCCACCACGGCCTTTTAAAGGGACAATTCTTACCTTGTTAATGGCCCCAAATCTCCTGAGTCTTGGCTTCCAGCTTCACTGGGAGTGCTCACTGATTTCGAGGAGGGAGACATAGGGGTTGGGACTAAATAATGAAAATAACAGGTATCCCATGTTAAAAAATGCAGCGGCTGCACTGGTGAAGAGCAGTGTCAGACAAATCAAAACGAATGGGCCAAATTAAAGTGGTTGTATGTCCAGGAAGTATTATGGGATAAGGAATAAAAAAAAAAAACAGGAAAGAAAAGGAAGAAAGTCAAGTGAATTTTTCATATTTTGGAAATTAAAATTTGAAATGAATTTAGACAAACTTAACTTTAGGGATTCTGAGGCCATGTCCACCCTAACAAAATAAAATGGAGAATCAAAATAGCTATCCAGATAATCCGAGTTAAATATCTCTCTAGTATGAGCTACCCAGATAATTCAAGTTAAATATCTGTCTAGTATGAGCTATCCAGATAATTCCGATTCTTCACATTATTTTGTTAGTATAGATGTGACCTATTAAGAAATAAAATAGGTGTCTATAAAACCTTAAACAATTATGAAATAAGTAGTTTTGGATCATTTTTAAATGGTCAAGGAAAGTCAGAAGTCTGTTGTGTGACTGCGTTTAGAGGGAAAGGCATGGTCTGTAGAATATAAACTGCGTTTTCTATGAGAGCCTCAGTGACAGGGAGGAAGGGTAAATGTTGAACGTGGTAATTTTAAATCTCATTCAAAACAAAGGAAAATGCCAGGCTGCTTTATTTTTACATTTAATTAATAGTTTCATCCCGCTGCACTGTTTACTGTTTGGGACTTGTTTTCCTTTGCCTACAGCAGCTCTTGGAGACACTGCTACGTGCACAGATGTAAACTGCCGCTCTGGAGACAGGAGAAACTAGTTCAAAGATCAAGGGCAGCGGGAGCTGAAAAATCTGAAAGCAAGGATTAAAAAAAGAAAAAAGCTAAAGGAAATGCAAATGTATTTTTTTCCTTCTATCCTTCAGATACACACCAAACGTCCTTCTCATAGAATAGCTACACCAAATAGCCAGGATGGCTCCAGGCCAGATGATTCAACGGGTTCTCAATATCACAGATGCCAAAGAAGCCATATGGACAGAAAGAAACTTCAGTGCATCAGTGTGGATTCCCATTTGGTTTCAATCATGTGCAATTTCCTTTTATTTATTTAATAGGGTAAAGGGCTTAACTATTTTGCCCAAATCCTATAACACAATGGAAGATCTGTCAAGAAGCTGGTAATTTTCATGTGGTTCCACAATTAATTCACTGATTACCCTCTGTGCTAACTCAAAGGGTAAGGTGGAAAGATGGGTGAAAATGAAAATGGGGTCTCTTGCCAGGTCCTTGGCAGGGGTGCAAGGATACTTCAAAACTTGGTCATGGTTTAGGGATATTTGTCTGTTGTTTTCTTAAAGTATAATTACTGGATTCATGTAAGGTGGAAGAGAATAGTATGTACTACTATTGTGTCCAACCAGCGTTCATACTGTGACAAAATATAAAAGGCTTTTCTGAGGCACAAATATAATTGATTGCAATGTTTCTAATTTATATCAGATGCCAGTTAAGTACAAAAATGTTTCCCAGTTCCTGCAAGAAGGTCCATCAGTCAAATGTCCCATGGGTTACATCCTCCATAACCTGAAGAAATTAAACAAAGTCATCTAATCTTATTGGGGCTTATTATATCATCTAATATATGATTTAGACATATGATTTTTTACCTACCACAAATTGAGATTGAGTGTAAAGTACTTTTTATTCATGTTTTAATTTTGTGTGTATATATTAAATTATATTCAACAATACTTAATAATTTGTAGGCATATTATATATTGTTCCTTTCCTATGCCTATAAATATTTGCCATTTTGTTACACATGGGATAATTTTTACTCTTAATTTAAGCAACTATGGAAATAAATAAAAATTTATTTTAATATAAAAGGCCATAATGGAATTAAAAGAAAACAAATCATTTTGAAGGGGAGACTTGATACTATATTTATTTCTATGGCTTCTTTTAAAAGGGTTTTGCCATACTGGATATCATGTAGTTTTACAGACACCCTAGGCTTACTCTTAAATGTATGGAAAACAAAAGCATAAAAGAAAAATGAAACAAATTATTACATGAGACATGTACAGGTAAGTGGCAAAATAAACACAATATGCATAAGTTACCTTCAACACAAAGAAAACGAATAGTACAGTACTCAAGCCTTAGGGATAAAATGAGGTCATGGACAGTAACTGGGAATGAATGAGTTGGAGGAGGGGTGTGCAGTGAAAATGCCAATTAGCAATGAAATCAAGATATACAATAACATCAAATGAATTTCAACTTGTTAACGAGCTGCTAATCTGCCACCTTTATAAGTTTTCCTTCAGATTTCCCACTGAGGCTTCTATATTCATTATGGGATCATTCTCTGCCTGTAAATGGTTATGAAATTCATAACCAGACTTATGGTATTTAGACTGGCAAAGAGAGCTTGAGATTCAGCAATGGAAATGAAGAACAATTTCATAAGAAATTCTAAGATTTCTTCCATTTACCCAGTGGCAACTCATTTAACATGTATAAAATAATCTACTAGTAACATGGTGAAGAAAGTTCACCATTGAATCCGTCAGTGACAGCAAAATGCTTATGGCTCTCCAACCTCTCCTCCCTTCTCCTTCCAGCCCCCTCAGTTCCCGAAATGCATGCAACTCGAATCATAAGCCATAGAATGTCTTAAAAAAAAAAAAAAAGATAAAAGCCACAGTCAAAAGAATAGTAAACACTGGACATGGTATATCCCACATAGATCAAATTAAAGAATAACAATGCAAAGCACGTCTAAGTACCTAGAGGTGGCTCTGGAGATATACCAATGCTTTGCAGCAGAGCCTCGGTCTCTCGTCGTTTGCGATCCAGATCGGAGTCATCCTGAACGGGTTCTTTCTTTTGCTGCATATCAGCCTAAAAAGAAAAACGTCAGTAGAAAACATTAATGGCATAACTACACGTATGCCTTTCCTGCTGAAGCTGAAAATGATAAATGCATGGCAGTGAGGACCAGGGGAAAGCCCTAAATATGTATAATCACATGTATCAAAGATGAAGAAAACCCAGTCGCTGCTCCATTTAATAATCACTGGCCCAGTGCTTTTTCTTTTGGTTGAGGGATTTTTTCCTGCCTCTGTCACATGGGATGAAAGTTTCTCTCGTGCAGTTTTGGAACAACATGTCAAAACAAAGTATTTCTGATTGGGGCTCTAATTTTTTTTTTTAAATGTCTATCTGCTTTTTTAGACTTTCTTGCCCCTTTTGAGCCATTAGTTTTTGATGTGTGTGTATATAATGTTCATCCTTGGGATTGTGCAAAGAAGGAATTGTTGGGATCTGACTGAAAAGTAAAATTATTTATGAAAATCTAGAGCTTTATAAAAGACACCATTTGTACTATGTGTGGTGGTAAAATAAATTTACCATGGTTTAAAATAAACTGGGCTAAAATCTGTCTTCAGGCAGGTAATATTGATAGGTCTTATTATTTGATTCTGATCTTCCTAAAATTTCGTTATACATGCTAACTCAAGAAAGAAAATTATTATGGCGAAAAACATACTATAAAAATTATTTAACATATATTTTTCTCTTTCTTTTTTACAAATTCATCATGTTTATCATACTGGTCTCTTAAGGTCATATTCTACGCCCAGTTTGTGTTTTTGCAGGACAGTGACAAAGGCAGGTAAAGCAGATCTATGGTAGTTCTGGGGGGAAACTTAAAACATCCCAGGTCTGTTCTCTGTTTCATAATAGTTATTACTTAAGACAAGGTATTTGCCCTACATCTGAAACATGATAACATCGTAATTGACATGCAGCTACTGCACAACAAAGCTTTGTGAGCTTGCAGAAATGAAGCTGTCTTAAAGCCTGTCCAAACCCAATTATGTAGTCATCAGACAGACTTATTTCCCTAGGGGCTAGCCAGGCACTCTAACAGGTACCTGCCTCCTTCAGGCATTCAATGAACACTTAGAAGCGGTGAAGCATAATTTACATCATGGCATCTAGAGCAGAAAGAGTTCATGCAACTTCTGACTTACTCCCAGATGACAGCCGCACACGGACTATAAACTAAATGCTTATGGGCCCAACACTTCCGTGAGTGCTGAACTTGGGTGCTGAACTTGGGCTTAAGCAGTGACACTTTTATTTGTTTATTTATTTATTTATTTTTGAGGTAGGGTCTTGCCCCATCTATCCTGGGCTAGAATGCAGTGGTGTCATCATCCTTCCTCAGTCTTCCAAGTACCAAGAAACTGGGACTACTGGACCACCATACCAGGATAGTTTTTCTATGTTTTGTAGACACAAGGTCTCACTCTTAGGCTGATCTCAGATTCCTGGGCTCCAGCAAATCTCCTGCCTTAGTCTCCTAGAGTGCCAGGAAGTGCCTCTGCCTCTTTTTAATTCTTTTTCTTTTTTTAATCATAGGATTATAGGCATGAGCCACCATGCCCGGCCAATTAGTCACAGCTTTGAAGTCTATTTTACCAAGTCCAGTGAAAATATTACAGTTTGTGTTCTTTTTCAGGTTTATTGGGGTTTTTTTTGCAAAAGGGTCTCTGTTGCCCAGGTTATATAGTGCAGTGGCATCACCATAGTTCACAGCAACCTCAAACTTCTATGTTAACACAATCCATCCGCCTCAGTGTCTGGGGTAGCTGGAACTACAGGTGCATGTCACTATACCCAGCTAATTTTTCTACTTCTTATACAGACTGGGTTTCACTGTGTTGCTCAAGCTGGTCTCAAACTCCTGGACTCAACCAATCTTTCTGCCTTGGCTTCCCAAAGTGTTGGGATTACAGGTGTGAGCCCCTGAACTCAACCTTCTTATCCAGTTTTAACATTTATACTATGGAAGCAAGTTTCAAAATTTATGTATACAACTGAGACAAAGCTAGCACTAAGATGAGAAAAAGGATATTGCAGAGTGAGGATCTATATCAATATCCACTTATCATAAAGTATAAAGAAAGATGGAAGAAAAAATGGGAAATAAAACGGAATTATTACAGCAGCTACTGAAATACAGATGAAGGTATAATACTAAGATAAGCACAATTTGTCTTTGGAATCCAACACAGAATACTACAAAATCACAGTAAATTCACTTCTATATTCTAGCAACAAAAAAATCTTCAGCTTTCCCTCATTCTTTCAACAAAAATGTGTTGACAGACAACAGAGTGTCAGTGTGAATGAAGGTGAGAAGTCCTAGTAGAGTTTATACAGAGTAAACAGACAAAGGTCTACCTAACCTTGTCATTTTAAATAAACTTAGGGCATATTGTCCAAAACTTTCTGTCGGGCATGTCCTATGCAGAAAGGCGTGACATTTATTTTTGGTTTTGTTTTATTTTTTGAGACTTATTCTAACTTTAACCATTAGGTATTTGAGAAACATAGTAGAGAGTAAATGACATGTTGACATGTGTAACCGTTGTGCAAAAATAGTACACCTGAACTCCATCTCCAAAATTTCCCTTCTCTCTTACAAGGTGCCTCTGCAACTCAGTCTCTGCCTCTTTGTAATTCTTCTTCTTTTTTTTTTAATCATAGCTGTGTATATTAATACTGTCATGGGGTAAATGTGCTGTTTTGGACCTCTTTTTAATTCTTAAGGAAACAGGCCACATAATGGCATATATTAATAGGGAAAAATGCCTTCTCAACATAACAGGAACTTGGGAAAGCTATCGACACTCAAACTTCACCATGAAAAATCCAAAATTAGGTAACTGGGGCTTATTGGAAATAAAGGCAGTTGCTATCTGTTCATAATTAAGAACATTAAGTGAAATAAAGTGTTACTTCACCCAAGAGACAGCAATACCAAGTGTCTTCATCATGAATCTTGATTTTTTGCCCATGTAAATACTACAGAATCCTGCTATGTTTTAATGACTCAACAAGGAGCAATTTTACAGTGCTAGTAATTAAAAATCTGCAAGGTGCCTTTCTCAGCAAGTGATATTTTTGCTTGAGGGGAGTAATCACAGCTCAGACCCAGAGAGGATAATCAAAGAAAGAAAATTTGTCAGCTGAGAATTGTCAATCACCTTTCCAAAGCCAGTTCGGTGTTTATTAGAGGAACATGTGAGGACAGGCCAGGGAACCCCTGCCCAGTCTCCCTTCCAGCAGTTTGGCAGAAGGCCAAGACCAGGGCACAACTTCAGGGTGGCCCCCATTGAGCTCGCCTCATTGCATTAAAGCCAATTTTTCATAAAATTAGGACTGTGTTGTAAACGGTGACCACTATATTTATTTTAAAATCAGATTTCATCCGTGATACCACAGCCAAGAAAGCAGTTGACATCCAAAAATGCAGAGAGTGGTAATTTTATACAACACGGACACAGTTTTCTGGATTCTGTGGAGATAATCAGCCTGGGTGGTCCTAACACACACGAGTTTTCAGAATCATGGCCAAAAAAAAGTCACTCAGTTTAGCATTAAAGAGCATTTTGTTTCTTTTTAATTCTAAATCTGTTTGCTTTCTTTAAAATATAAGCCTAATGAAAATTTATAAAAATCAAACCTATAAGCTGAAGGCTATTTCTAACTTTGCAAACAGCCCAACAATTAGAAAACTTTCAACTCAAGAGTCAATGACCATGGCCACTCGGCCGCAGCGTCCCCCAGACTAAGAATCAGAAGCCTCCAAAGAGATGTGCAGAATAGAACTCCAGATGCTTAGAAGGGATGTTGGGACCAGCATTTCAAAACTGTCCTACCTAGTTCATGTGTTCATTTATTCACTCATTCATTCATTTTACAATCCTTTCTTGAAGGCCTACTATGTGGCAAAGTCTGTACTAGACAGAGCCAATGATTAAAAAAATGATGAAAATGAAACCCAAAACACTTATAACCCTGCCCTTGAGAGCTTGTGATCTATAAGGAAAGACAAGAGCAAAGGAAAATACAATGCTGTGTGCCAAATGGCTTGATAAAATCAAGGTGAGGGTGCAGAACTGACCTAGGTATGGGTGGAGAAAGGCACCAGAGACAGCTTTCTGGAAGAAGTAACATCTGAGATGAGAGTGGAAAGGCAGGCATGTGGCTAGCAGCCAGGTGAAGGACAGCCTGCTAAAGTTAGTAGCAGGTGAAGAATGATAGGAAGAGAGAGGTGAGCATCATAAATGTTCTGTCTAGAGAAAAGTGGTCCATCTGGCTAGAGTGGGGACTTGAGGGAAGAACAAATGAGGGTGGTTGGAAAGAGAGTCCTGGGGTGCCTGGTGCCTGGTGGTCTTTGTAAATGGGGAAGTGGATGGTGAAAGGCTGACCCCAGCTTTCTGATTTGGACACCTGGCTGAATGCAGGGCCCTTCATGTGACTGGGGGTGGGGGGTGGGTTGTCTCTGAATCTTAGACTTCTGGGCTTAGTTTCCTCACTTGAAAAAGAAGGATCAGAATAGATTATTTCCAGATTCCTTTCAGCTACAGAATGTCCCAATCCTATGAAACGAGGGGCTTTGAATTATAAGAGCCTTCCAATAAGGGAGCAATTTTGACAAATGGTCTCCCCAGCAGTGGTCCTGACCGGTGAACGCAGCCATTCTTTGGGGCCCCATTGTCTACTCTGGTAGCAGATCTCAGAGCCAGCTTGACAGCCGTTTCTTACTGACCAGTTCCTCTGGGTCTTTCACTGCCCTGCAGCATCTTCTTGAATCCTCTTGACTCTATGAAGAAGGCACCAGGCTTTCCTCCATCTTACAGAAGCGGGAACATGTTCTGAAAGATCTCAAACGCACTCAGAGCCATTCTGTGAAGGGCAGAGCCAGGTCGCCCAGCTGTGTTCAACGCCAAAGCCTCTGTGCATAACTACTGCGCTTCACTGTCTATAGTCATAGCCTCAGCTGCTCAGAATGAAGCAAATCAACGCAGTCTGCAAGAAGTGCTTAAACAGAACCAAGGAAAGATCTTTCGTAGGGGAGATGGGTTGTGGAGAAAGAAGATTTAAAACCAGGGCAGACTTTAAAGATACTAGAGCCCAGTGGATTCCCAAATCTGGCCTTTATTTGGATCACTCAAATCAGAAACTTTGAGGCTGGGACACTGGGATTGTATTGCCATGTGACTCTGTGAGCAGGGTTCAATTCTCTCAAGTTTAAACCAAGACAAGAACCAGCTAAAGGCCAGGAATGCCTAGAGTCCGGTGTCTCACCCCAACCGCCTGCCACCCTTGAGCTCCCTGGGCTCTTTTGACTGTGTAACAAGCTAAATCTCCACCAGCATAACTGCTTGGTGTAGAAACAAAAGGGGGAGCCTCTTTCCATCAGTCTTGTTTGCCTGTAATTTCCCCCAAAATGTGTAAAATAAAAAAAGATGAAGCAGACAGCATAATTTGGAACCAAATTTCCCATATCACATTGCATTTTGTGGTAATTCTGTGAAATTCAAGTTGGATATTAGAATGTCAGTTTAAAAGGAAACCAGTTATTAGCAAAGGATAACAGGTGCTTTAAAACTCCAGTAAGTGTTGACATTTGAGGGAAAGGAAACATAATAACTTAATGCTTTTTTTGGCTTTGCATGGAAATGAATAGCCATTCCTTGTCAGTTCTCACCTCTCCTTCCTTCAAAGACTACATATGTAACAGAAAAGATCTCCAAGGGAAAAACTAGTATGTGTGATGTCAAGGACAAATAAACTATCACATCAATCACAGGTAACAGTCTGAAGAAATGCAAGGGGCCAGAAGGCTAAAATGCAACTGTGATTACATTTTACTTTGTTGGAAAATGATAATTGTTATAAATCTGTTACCTCAGTCTCCTAGCCTTGCAGTAAGAAACAACACCAATTTAGATTATAAAACATTAAAATGCATTTTATTTTCCCTTAGCTCTGGTTTCTATACTCACAAGCATACGACTCTACTCAAAGCTTTCTTCTCAGACAATTATTCAGAGACATTTTTGTCATCTGGCTTTTGTACAAGATGTGGGCTATGTCTACGCTGCCACAACAAATTAGAAAATTAAAATTATTTGTTGGATTGGGGTAGTAAAAGAAAACACAATTCGACAACAAGGGATTGAATTGGGGCTTGAGAGTCTTGGATTCTGGATTGAGAAGGCGGAAATATTACATCTCATCTTTGGGTCTCTGCTGCTTTGATAGCATAAAGACGGGCCTCAGGGGAAAGCCTCTGAAATTCTTTCCAGATCTAATGTGTAATAATTTTCTGTCCTACATTATCCTATCTACCCTCTCACCCAGTGAAGCACAGGTTTCCCCTTATCAAACCTAGGATTCTTATTTACCATGAAAAGTGTACACCATTTAGGAGATAATGGAAAACCATTGGCATCATTTTCTGTTTTTCTCCTAAAATATTTTTCTTGGTAATTTTTTTTGAAAAGGCTTTTCTTAAAATTAACAATTGTTAAGTACTGAACATATCCTAGGTACGGCTAAGTACAACATTCATTCTTTCAATCCTCACAACCTACAAAATAAATATATTGTTCTCATAGTAAGGATAGGAAATGGAGGCACAGAGAGGTTAGAGAACTTTCTAACAATAACAAGATCATAGACCAACTCCAAGGTTCTATTCAAGTCTGGGGGAACCTGGGACTTGGGGACCTCTGGAGCAATGCCATCTACCCCTTAGGTGGGGACCTGACAGCCTGCAACAGATGGCAATGACCTTCGGAGTATGTGGATAGTCACGCATTTTATTCCAACATCATAAAAGCGTTCTGAGCCTACTTATGCCCTTGACCCTCAGAATCAAGCGATTTTCCCTTCCATCCACAACACCCCAACATCCAGGGTGTTTACCTCTTTCTTCTTCCTCTCTTCTTCCTTCCGTTTCTTCTCTTCTCTTATCTGTGCTAAGCGCTGCTTTTTGCGCTCTAGCTCAGCTTTTAAATCACTTTTGTCAGACATGTTGGTTTCCCTGGAGAAAACAAACAAACAAACAAAAAAATGTAAACATACATATAATCTTCCTGTAAAAATTATCCGAAAGGAAATGCAGCTCGAAAATGTGACTTTGTGGCAATAACAATTTGTATCATTTAGCCTGTGTTGAAGAATCCAAGAAACAAATTAAGTTAGAGCTAGTCTAATTCTACATAAATATCTTCCCCCCCCCTTATGTCTATAACGTACATAAATATCTGAAGAAAGACAATATTATTGTCTGGCCTAAAGAAGAATAGCAATTTCCAAATAAGCAACACATTTTTCTGTACAAGTTTCCTAACAAATAAATAACAACAAGAATAAATAAGGGAGTAAGAACCATCATCATGACTTCCAATTTAGATGATAATGGAGCAATTCGTTCTCGTACTGAGAAAAGAAAATAGGTTGTCATAAACCCTTAAAGCCATGCCCTGCTCAAATTTCTATGGACTCAATAAACATTCCTCCACTGAACTTGGGCACAGGGAGATTTCATTTGCCTAACATTATACGCTTCGGGGAAGACAGCTGCCGAAGACTTTACGTGTTAATCTTCTTTCTCTGTAAAACTCCTTCTGAACTGTCACAATTAATTTCATCTCCAACGCAACCCTATCTCTACAAAACTTTCATTTGCATCCCAAATGCAATATTACTTATTCTGGCACATTCTCTTTCCAAAGCAAAGGGTGTTCGTGAACACGTGAAATGGGAGATAACACCATGGCAAGTTCTCAGGAAAATTTATCCAAACGAGACTTAATTTTAATGTTAATCATGGCAACGATGCTGGTGGGTATGGTGCCAGAAACATTTTTAAATAAAATGAGTTTGGCAAAGACTTGACTAATTACCAATGATTGTTTCATCGTGTTTTTTTGCTCCCAACTGACAAGTAACAAAATGGAAACCCCGGGTAGGGAAGAAGCCCCTGTGACCCAAATTCCTAAAATAAAGGAGAAAAGAAAAGCTGGCATCTAAATGTCGTGAGTACTCATTTGCATATTATTTGTATGCAACTAGAATAAATGTACAATGTATCCTGAAGTAGATGACAGCGTGATGGAAGGCAAAAAACTACAAAATAATACAGAAAAATAAAAAATTCTCAAACTTCCTGTCATTGTCATCAGAAGGTAATCACGGACCTGCAGTTACTCTACGACACACTTTCAGACATATACACGGTCAGGAAGTGCACTGTACTCCTACTATGCGCATTTCTGTTCACAGTGTCATGGTGAAGACTTGTGAAATAATCATAAGAAGGCAAGGTTCAATCTCTGCTATTCATGATCATCCCCTGTCTTCATTTTTCAACAAACATTTGCTGAATATATAACTGGTACCAGGCACGCTCTAAGGTGTAGGGATACAAAGTTAACAAAGACCAGATTCTTTCCTGCAAGGAGAATCACTTAGATTGGGGGACACGTAGGGTGGCTGGAAATACTGGCTCAGTGATTACTCAGTGCCAGGCCATTTACATTCATTACCACATTAGTCACAATAATCCAAACAGACCAATATTATTATGAATGCTTTTTTCACAGTTGAAAAATAAGAAGGCTCAGCCAGACCTGACACAGTCTCCCCAATGCGTGAGAGAATGTAAACTTAAGCTTGTCCATGCTCTGACCTACTATTCACCTCTGCGCCCCACTGTGCAAGTTCAGGGGGGATGCTGACCAAATCAAAATCGAGTCCTGGTAGAATGGACCAGGGTAAACACTTAGCAACAGGTGGAATTCAAACTGGATAGCAAATAAGGTCAGGAGCTGACATAGGACAGGAAGATTTGGATGTGCCAAGAGGGACCTGGCAGATTGAGTCCGAGAGAAGTAGATGAATCCAAGTCAAGAAATAAAAATTTGAGTTGGTAAGAAGAGATGCATGGAGGTGACTGGTAAGGCCTTGACAAAACAGAGAAGTGAGGTTTAGTTGTTGAAATGGGTGATGGGAAATCACAGCAGCTTTTGAAAAAAGTAACAAAACAAAAATGGAATTTGTTTAAGCCTCTTCTTGTCTCTGCCTGCATCACAGGCAGGAGGAGAAACTAGAGTAAGTAAAGCTGCTGGGAGAGAGATGCCAATATCTGTCTGAATCAGTGGCACCTGCACTGGGACGGCAGCTGACTGTACAGACAGGAGGTGGAGAGAGGACTGGAGAGGGGAGGAGGGGAGGCCAGGGAGGACCAAGAACTGCTGGCAGCCTGTAAATGTGCAGGCAAAGAAGGAATGTCCAGCAATAATCTGATTTTGAGAGGACAAAGAAGATAGCAGTGAGATTGGAAGATAGCAGTGAGAAGGCAAAAAAGAAATGGTGACAAAATGTTCAGCACGTCTCAATTTGGGTGTCAATGGGACTGCTGGGCAGAACACACAGATAAAACACTGCAGATGGGACAAGAAGCTGGATAGAGACTGGGGCTGAGGAACGGAGTTTGGAGTCATTCAAATAGGGTGTGGAGTCGGTTGGTGGTCCACATGGGCGGACACAGACCAAGCAATTGGATCTTCTGATCGTTAATTTTTTTCAAGGGAAGCCACAGAACTGACAAAAGTGAAGCTTATCACTAAAATACTGAGTGCCAATAATGTTCAACACCAGTGGGTAACATTTCTGGCAAGAGAGAATTAGAACCTAATTCCAGAAGCCATCTGAGATGTTACATACACTCTTGCCCAATGGGGGCCAATCTAACTGATGTGTTTGAAATTTTTTGGCTGTCAAAAATGAAATGTACGAACAGAAAAATCACTGTTAAAGCGATAGCCGTTTCACTCTAAATTAAAAGCAGCTAGTGGAAACTTCTTTCAAAAACCTGAGTTTTCCTCTCTCCCACGATTCTCCAACATTTATCGACCTGTCCCCAATCCATCAAAAGTGTCTGGCCCAACCTCAGCAGTGTGTTACAGTCATTAAGGAGCAGACCATACTGTAAGAACATCTTGTATTTGTTGTGATTTTCTTGCAAAAAACTTCAATTGCAAGAGGAAGTAGGGTTTATTCTTAGTACATTTCTGCAAAGTACAAAGGCTTTCAATCAAATAATAAATACATCTGACAATGTTGATCATGTACGTTTGTGTTCCCAGGCACAGAGCCAATATTTTAAAGTAAGCAATAAAAACACAAGGGAACTTTTTTTTTTTTTTTGAGACAGAGTCTCACTTTGTTACCCTTGGTAGAGTGCTGTGGCATTACAGCTCACAGAAACCTCCAGATCCTGGGCTTGGGTGATTCTCTTGCCTTAGCCTCCCACACAAGCACCTGCCACAATGCCTGGCTATTTTTTGTTGCAGTTTGGCCAGGGCCTGGTTTGAACCTGCCACCTTTGGTATATGGGGCCAGTGCCCTACTCACTGAGCCACAAGTGCCACCCCACAAGGGAATTTTTAAAAAGAAGTCATATTAAGTAGTGATGTTTCACATAATACTAGTTACTTTTTAAATGTAGTACAGCTATAATGTTAAAAGATGGAACTATAGAGGCCTTCTACTTACTGATTTTTGAATCCATTCCAAGATAGACACTTGGTGTCAACCCATGAAAGAATAAGAAAGCTCAAGGGAAAGCCTCATAAAGGGTTTGGGAAGCAATCAGTAAAGGAAATGAACAAGCCTTCACTCCCCGCACAGTGGAGTGAACAGCAGTGTCAAGTGCATGGTCAGCACTGAACTCCACAGGCTTCCCTGAGGGACTTGCTTGCCCCATCCAGTAGATCTCTCCGCACATCAGGCAAAGGAAATTGAGGAGTAAAGAATAAGGGGCATGAGTTGCAAAGACTCCTACGACTAATGGAAGTCACAGCAGCAGCCATTCTCATGCTTTCTTCTGAAAAAAGAGAAACCAAGAGTCCAAAGCTACCTGCTGCTAATTATTGCTCAGTTACTTCATACACATAAAAAGCCAGTCTCTTTCATTTGCAAGTGGCACGGGATCAAGAAGCTAAATCAAATCCACCTCTAAATGTAGAGTTCCTCTCTGTCTGATCATCAGCATGTTCTGTCACCCAGGCTTGACCTCACCTAGGCTCAGGAAGACACATCTCGGGGCCAGGTGTCTTCACTGGTCAGCATCCCTCAGAGCAGAGTCGGGTAGTCTGAACTCCCTTTCCACTGGCGGCAGCCCCCCGGCCTCACTCTCCTTCACCCACCTTCATGGCCAACTTCCCACTTTCTATCTCTCTCCACCCCTGCGTCTTAGCTCTGGTTTTTCTGCAAAGGCTCCGGCTTTGCTATTACTGAACACAATCTTATTTCACCTCTTATCATTCTTTCTCTGTCCACCATGTTATATAATTATCTCAAAGTTCACATCAGCTCTTCCATTTGCTTTGGACTACCTATACTAATCCCCAACTCCCTAACATTTTTTTTTTTTCAAATTTCAACTCTCTACAACTGATTTCCCTTTTGTCCCATGGTTCACCCTTTCTTCCCTGCCTGGTGTTTTCCCAACAATTCATCTCCACCGACACTCCCATACGTGCCAGTTCTGATCACTCTGGCTTCAGCCCATTTCTGATCCCCATAGATTGCCATTCTTTTGATCCAAACCAATATGTCAATATAAGCAAAGAGCTTAGAAACATGCCTGGCAAATATTAAACCCTCAAGAAAACTTGTTCTTCCTCCTCTTCCTCCTCTTTTTCTAATATTATTACCATTATTTTTATCCTCTTCACTCTTTCCCACATCACCAATTCCACCATCATTCAAAAACCAAGTCATTACTCCAAGTTCACAGTAATCATTTTGTAAGATAATTACAGGGAGGGGCATTACTATTACGGTACTGACTGAACAGCAATACGCAATACATTCAGAGTAAGGAAACCCAGTCTGGGGGATTCTAGGGCGCCTCAGAGAAAGCAGAGAATTTCTCAATCTAAATGGATTATAAAATGGAAGGCATGTGGGAAAAGAGGTCTGACTCAAAGAAAAAATAATTTAAAAATCAAATGTAGTTATTTAATTTAAAGG